GATCGACGGTTTCGATCTTAAGTATGTCTTCAAAAATATCGTTTTCCGTATAAGAGTTGTAATTATCGTAATCGCCGTTCAATTGACGCCAATTAATCTCTTTCTTCTCGGGTTTCATTATAACTCTGATGGTTAGGTTTCCCACAACTGGCAATAGATTGGTGTGATTTGCATAGACTGTGCCCTCGATGTAAGTGTCGGACTGAGATATGAAAGCCGGCAGCGAAACGCTTACGTCAAACCGATTGGTAAACCAGCGCTCAATTAGTATTTTTCTAAACAAGTCGTGCAATCAATTTGTTGAACCATTTTATGCGCTAAAATAGTGGATATATTTAGACAAAACGATGGCTCACTTTTCCTCAATCTGTTGAAGTGCTTTAACCCTCACTGTCCACCACCCGCGAGGATAATCACCGGGCAATACAAATTGAATGCTCACAAAGCCTTTAAATGCAATAAAATAATTAAATTACTTTAATTAAGGGTTAGAAAAACAATTTTTCTGTTTGTCTCGTAATTCAATTAAATTTTAATAAACAGCAAAATGTTATATAATTTGTTTAATTATAATAATTGTCTAATTAGTGTTGGCATGACTTGCCTTGAAATGGATAAATAGAGTTCCATCTCTTCATTATAAGCCCTCGAGAATCCTTTGGGACAAAAATGACAAAATATTAGACAAAAAACATCGATTCATACAATTGAAGACAATTAAAATGATTGCGTGATTGAGAGCTTCAAATGCATTAGATTTTATAATATAATTATTGTGGAAATAATTATTAAGCAAATAATGGGTCAAAATTTTTTTGTTACTCTAAATGTAAACGTTTTTCTAAATTGAAGATAATTACCAGAAGATAGACATCGATCGCATCCACGTATGGTTTCATTTCCATATTCAGTAGTATTACACGAATGCTTACTATTATATTAAACACAATGAAAATATATAATTTTTTACAATATAATGCATATTTGCACACAACTATAGTCATGTATTTTATCATTATATATTCGTAATACAGGTAGTAGAAAGTTTATACAAAATACTATAAAATATCGCATAAGTTTTGTTAGGTTTGCATTTTTTTGTGAATAATATTAAATACTGATTATATGTTTTCTAAAACTTATTAAAATTTAGGAATAAGAAAAAATTCAATAAATATATTGTATTAAAATAGCTACAAGTAATAAAAGTTATAAAATCGATAGTTTTTAATGAGATGTCCCGTCGGCAACATTACTACTTTTGCATACAATAATATCAGTATTGCTATTGTAATGTTATAGATGACTTTTTACATTAATATAA